TCTAGCTTGTAGCTCATACTTTGTGAGTGGAAATAAAAGTTATTTTTCAGAAATAAGTATTTATTGAATTTTGAAGTTACTTATTTTAAAAGTTGAGTTGATAGCATGATTATTCAGAATAAAATGAATTTTATTATCAAATGTTTTTAAAAGTTAAATTCAGTTTAGTTACATTATTTCATTGACATATTATTTCAGCATTAACTAGTTCAGTATATTTAAAGTTATTTTAAAACCACCAGAAAGTACTCATGCGATTTTACTCTAATCTGCACTGGTGTGAATGTGTTCCATAGTGTATGATCAGTTATGATGATTGTACCCGCTCTACACTATTGTGAATGTGTTTTCATAGTGTATGACCATATTATCAGAGATCTTTGGGACCTACTCTCAGACACATATAGGCTTTGGGCCGTGTACTAGGGTGATTAGCATTTGGGACAGCTCTATGCACGTATGACCAGATTATCAGATTATCAAATTATTAGATGTGAATGGACTTACTTTGTACATCGAAATTACTCTGTACATGAGTAAGGCTATTCATAGGGTACATTTTTGGTGTGATTTTTCTGTATTTCTACAGCTTATTAGTTTTTAGATTTTAGAATTCGGTTAATTCAATTTTCAGAATAAAGCTTTCAGCTTATAGTATTAAGCAGCAGCAACATTTCATAGATTTTCATGGATATCAGTATTTATAGTCATTTTATTATACAGTTACTTTTCTAAAATTAAGAACAAAGAATTTTATGATACGATCATGTTTAGTTTTTAAAGTGTACTAGATTCAAAATTTCTCAAAGATTTAATAAAGTTAGAATTTTTAGAAAATATGTATAAATGGAAAAGTTTATTTATTTGCAACCTATCCACTCACTGAGTTACAACCTCATATATTTTGTCATTTTTTTTCCTTTCAGGAGACCGTTGATTTTGAGATACTTAGAAAAGCCTGCTGAAGTCAAAGAGACCATTTCATAGTATGTAATATATAGTTGAGGACTCATGTTTATTAAGTATTTGGTCTAATATTTAGTTTGACGTGTATTTCGTAGAAGGGTTTGTAATTGATGTAATGCTTACTTGTAGACATGATACGATAGTAGAAGTACTCAGTTGAGTTTAGTTGTATTTTGTTTTAGTTGTGGTGGTATTAGTGGAAGTGATGGTTTCCAAAACTTTTGGTTTGAATGACTGTTTGAGGTTTTATTGATTTTTCAGTTTGGTTTTGTCTATGTTTCGGAGGAAACTCTGTCAAAATTTTTATAGAATTATGTTACAGTTAAAGTAAATCAAGTTTGCCTTGGTGGTAGGTCTGGCATTTGGTTGGCATCTACCATCGGCGCACAACACGTGCCGAGTCAATTAGGTTGAATCGGGACGAGTATTGTCAATTGGTATCAGAGCATGGTCTTAGAGTTTATGAGTAACATTGCATGTATCTGATGTTTGTATATCATACTTTATTGTAGGTGAGTCATGCGTGGTAGGGACAGAACTCGAAGGCATCAAAATCCAGTATCTCAAGCTCATGATGTTCCTGAAGGAAGACATGATGGAGGAGGCAGTGGGGTCGCAAAATCAATTCACTAGTCTCAGGTGCAACTAGACCCTATTACTGATAGAATAGCTGCAGCTATTGCTTCCCTTCTACCCAATGCTGATAGAGATAACTCTCTTGAGAGAGCAATGAAACTTGGGGTGAAATTTTTTTATGGGTACATCTAATCTAGTTGATGCTGAACTTTGGATGAAGACTTTGAAAAGTATATTTGATGTGGTAGAATGCTCAGAGGATAAAAAATGAAGGAAGGAGCTGCTGATTGGTGGATTTCGTTTCAAAGTTGGTATCCAGATCCTAGTGTTATCACCTGGATCATTTTCAAGGAAGCTTTCTATGAAACATACTATCTTACATTTTATCATGATACGAAACAAAATGAATTTTTAAGATTGGTTCAAGGGTCTATGTTGGTTGCTGAATATCATGTAAAGTTTGTAGAACTGTGTAAGTATGCAAGTGTTTTGGTTGCTGAGGAGACAGCTATTCAAGAAGGAAGTAATCAAGGAGCACAGGTGACCTTTCGAGGTGATAGTAGTCAAACATGAGCTTTAGGAAAAAGGTTCAAGAAAAACAGAAAATGATTTTGGCCAGGTGTCACTAAATTTGGTGGTTTTAAATTTAAGTCTGGGAGTTCTAGCTCTAGTTAGGGATCAAGACATAGCTAGAGTTCTGGACAACAGTCGGTGGGGAGCCATTCCTATGTTTAGGGTTCTTCACAGAGAATTCAAGGAGTGAGGTAGAGTGAGGCTTCTGATCATCGGAGCTTTCCATGGGAAGTTTCATCCAAGCGAGTGTCTTCGAGGGGTTGGAGTTTGTTACCAATGTGGTCAGATGTGATACATAAGGAAAAATTGTCCAGCTAGATCTCAGTAGATTGGAGCATCTCAGATAGTATCGCCTCAGCCAGGGATCGGTACGACCAGACAGAACAGGGATCAAAGAGCTCCATCAGCAGGGTCGATGTGGGCCACATAATCTAATGCTGCTAGGAGTAGTGCTTCTAGACAGGGAGCCCAGTCAGGTCGATCCACGACTTAGGGTAAAGTGTTTGCTATGACACAGTAGGAGGTAGAGGAGTCACCAGATGTGGTAGTGGGTATGTTATCTATTTTTGGTAGAAATGGTCGTTCTTTAATTGATTCGGATGCTACACATTCCTTTATTTCTCATGCACTTTCTAGTTATGTTGATCAAATGTCAGAGCCTTTAGATGGTGAATTAGTAGTAGCAATTCCAGTAGAGGACTCACTTTTAGCTAATCGTGTATATAAAGATTGTGGGATTAGGGTGAACAATCATGAGTTGAAAGCAGATTTAATTCCACTTGACATTCATGATTTTGATGTTATTTTGGAGATGGACTTTCTATCTAATCACCGTGCTCGTTGATTGTTTTTGCAAGAAAGTGGTACTTAGAAGTCCAGGAGAGCTTGAAATTATTCTCACTGGAGAGAGCAAAATTTTACCATCTTGTCTAATATCTGTTCTGGATGCTCGAAGAATGCTCAAATAGAGTTGTGATGCATATTTGGCTCATGTAATTGATACTCAGATCACTAAGTGGCCAATTAACGATATATCAGTTGTGCGAGATTTCCCCGATGTCTTTTCAGAAGACCTTCCAGGATTATCCCCAAGTAGGGAGATCGAATTCTGTATTGATTTGATCCCTGGGACAACACCTATTTCACAGCCATCTTATCGAATGGCTTCAAAAGAGTTGAAGGAATTAAAGGTACAATTACAAGAATTGGTTGATAAGGATTTCATTAGACCCAGTGTATCCTCATGGGGAGCACCTATTTTATTTGTGAAGAAGAAAGATGGCACTATGAGATTATGTATTGACTATAGACATTTGAATAAGATGACTATTCGCAATAAGTATCCTCTACCCCGCATTGATGATTTGTTTGATCAACTTCAAGGTGCCTCAGTATTTTCAAAGTTTGATTTACGTTCGGGGTATCATCAGCTCAGAATTAGAGATGTTGATGTACCAAAGACTGCTTTTCAGTCTCAGTATGGTCATTATGCATTTTTGGTGATCCCATTTGGATTAACTAATACCCCAGCTGCATTTATGGATTTGATGAATAGGGTACTTCACCCATATTTAAACAAATTTGTGATTATTTTTATTGATGATATATTGGTTTATTCTCACAGTCGTGATGATCATGTTGAGCATTTGAGGATTATCTTGCAAACTTTGCGAGATAAGCAGTTGTATGCTAAATTTAGCAAATGTGAATTTTGGTTAGATAAAGTTCTGTTTTTGGGTCATGTTATCTCAGCAGAAGGCATTTATATAGGTCCTCAGAAAATCGAGGCAGTTATGATATGAGAACGCCCTACTAATATTATAGAAGTATGAAGTTTCCTTGGACTAGCAGGTTATTATCGTCGATTTGTAGAAAATTTCTCCAAAATTGCTCTTCATTTGACTAATTTGACTCGAAAGAACACCAAATTTGTGTGGAATGAGGAATGTGAGAAGAGTTTTCAAGAGTTGAAGAAAAGGTTAACTTTTGCTCCCATACTTACTCTTCTATCTCCAGGTGAAGAGTTTGTGATTTATAGTGATGCTTCACGCCAAAGATTGGGTTGTCTTCTAATGTAAAATGGGAAAGTTGTAGCTTATGCTTCAAGACAATTGAAGAAGCATGAGTTAAATTACCCAACTCATGATTTTGAGTTAGCTACAGTAGTGTTAGCATTGAAGATTTGAAGGTATTATCTTTATGGTGAGAAATTTCAAATATTTACTAATCACAAAAGTTTGAAGTATATTTTTATAAAAAAGAACTGATTCTGAGGCAGAGAAGATGGTTGGAGTTGATTAAGAATTATGATTGTAAGATTGACTACCATCCAGGAAAAGCTAATGTGGTTGCAGATGCTCTCAGTAGAAAGACCAGTTCTTCCTCTCTAGCTAGTGCAGTTTATGTTTATTTGATTTGTGAATTCAAGAAATTGCATGCTCAATTGTCAGCTACTACTTCATGTTCTGTATTAGCTCATTTCCAGGTGAGGCCTACTTTAATTGATAAGGTCATAGAAACTCAAACCCAAGACCTGACAATGAGAACTTTGAAAGCAGAAGTTAGTGTCGGTTACGAACAGATTATGTTATTAGGAATGATGGTGCATTGGCTATGGGTAATATAGATTATGTGTTCTAGATATCCTAGAATTGAAGAAGGAAATTTTAGAAGAGGCACACAGTTCTACTTATGCTATGCATCCATGTAGAATTAAAATGTATCATACATTGAAAAATCATTACTGGTGGCTTGGAATGAAGAAAGAAATAGCATATTTCGTATCCAAATGTCTTATATGTCAACAGGTAAAGCCAGTTTGTCAGAAAACAACAGGACTTTTACAGCCATTGCCTATTCCAGAGTGGAAATAGAAGCACATTACTATGGACTTTTTATTTGGCCTTCTTCATACTCAAAATGGTCATGATGGAGTTTGGGTGATTGTAGATCGTTTGACCAAAACTGCCAAGTTCTTGTCGATCAAAGCCACTTATATTTTAAATAAGTTGGCAAAGTTGTATATGGATGAGATAGTGAGCTCATATGGTACTCCAGTATCTATTGTGTCCGATAGTGACCCTCGTTTTACATCTAAATTTTAGCCCAATTTGCAAGAAGTCATGAGTACTAAACTACATTTCAGTACAGATTTTCATCCTCAGACAAATGGCCATGCAGACTCATGAGGATATGTTGAGGGCTAGTGTTTTAGAGCTCAAAAGTAGCTGGGATACTCATCTGCCATTGATGGAGTTTGCTTACAATAACAACTACCACTCTAGTATAGAAATGGATCCTTTTGAAGCTTTATATGGTCGAAAGTGCAGAATACTAGTTTGTTGGGATGAAATTGGTAAGAGGGAGTTAGTAGGCCCTGAATTGGTTCAAATGACGTCCGAAAATGTGAAATTGATCAAAGAAAAGTTGAAAGCAGCTCGGGATAGACATAAAAGTTATGCGGATATGCGCAGGAAAGATCTTGAATTTGTAGTAGAAGATACAGTTTTTCTCAAATTATCTCCTTGGAAAAGGGTGCTGAGATTTGGCAAGTGAGGAAAGTTGAGTCCACGATATATTGGACTCTATGAGATTACTGAGTGGATTGGCCTAGTTGCATATCGATTAGATCTGCCAGATGAATTATCTCGGATCCATGATTTTTTCATATTTTCATGCTTCACAAGTACGTTGCAGATCCCTCTCATGTTCTAGAGTCTTACCCAATTCAGTTGAAGGAGAATTTGACTTATATAGAAGAACCAGTGAGAATTTTTGAAAAGGAAGTGCAAACTCAACGAAACAAGACAGTTTCACTTGTTAAGGTACTTTGGCAGAATCAAACAGTAGAAGAGGCTACATGGAAGAACAAGGATCAGATGCTTGTTCAATATCATCATTTATTCATTGCCTAATCAGTTGCTGGTTGAATTTCGAGGACGAAATTCTTTTAACGAGGTAAAATTGTTACAACTCAATTTTCATAGTCAAAAATTTAAATGTTGACTAGTCAAGGTCGTAGTCAATTAAGGACCAAAATGAAATTAAATATTTTATTTGGGTTTATTTTGCAATTGGCATAATATGAAGATTAAATTGGATACAATTTGAAGTTGGGAATTTACTTATATATTTTTGGAAGTTTAGGATTAAATGTGATATGAAAAAGGAGTTGAAGGACTTCCTTTATGAGAAGAATAATATTAAAGATTCTTAGAAAAAGGTATGCGAGGTGTCATGAGTGCCATGATTTTAGTAACGTAAAATCTGAGTGTCCTAACATGAAGAGAGACCTAAGCAAAGCTATGAATGCTACTCTCATTGATGTCGAGTTTATTTCGGATAATCAAAGTAAACTGTCCTCTCATGATGAGACTAAAAAGTATATGGCATTCATTTCTGTAGTAAATAGTGAGTCGCTTGAGGATAAAGAGAAATTTGATGCTTCACGAGAATAGTCAAAAGATGATCGTGACATATATAAGCCTTTGATGAGCTATTTCAGGATTTCTTTAGGTTGAAAAAAGGTCTATAATGCTACTTTTAAGAAGCTACATAAGATGGAGTTAGATAGAAAGACTTATATCTGACCTTCAAGAATCTACTAAAAACCTTAGTAAAGTAAGACTAGTCAATGAAAACTTAGAGACTAAGGTTAAAACCCAAACGAGTGATCTTGAGAAATCCAATGCTCAACTTCTTTCCTTCACAAGTGGGTATCAGAAACTTAACAATCTTTTAGGGTTAAAAAGCTTCTTGGTAATAAGGGAGGTTTAGAATATATGCAAGCTGATCGTAATACTGTTAGTACTTTCAAGATTATTTTTGTCCCTACTACCAACCAACCTAAGTATGTTGCAAATCTTGAACACAAGAACAAGGACATATTAGGATAGAGGCATCATGCTAGACGTCATAGAACCAACCAAGCTAGAAATCAATAGCAGCAACCACGTAGATTTGGATCTATGCGTCGCAATTGTGTGTAAGTTTAGACACATAAGACCGAGGTGTCACAAACTTTTGAATAGGAATAGAAGTCAGAATATATCTACCCAAGTTGAGTTCCTTATCAAGCTAGTCACTTGACCGTACTTATGACACTGTTGACTAGAATTAATTTTGCTTCTTAGAAAGTCTAGGTTAAGAAGAGTGATTTCTATGATCAGAGAGATACTCTGAATGCTAATGCCCTTTGTGTTGCTCTTCAAGGGAAGAGCAACTTTATGCCTCAGTGAGTTAGTATTTTTGGTACATGTCCATGTTTATTCACTGTGATTATTTAGATAACATACAGCTCGTTTTGTTTGCATTGGTACATGCACATTTTTTTTGTTTTATGTGCTGCATATTTTTTTGTCTTTATATTGTGTGTTTGGTGCATTCATATCTTATCAACTGAAAAATGATTTTTTATTGGGCATGTTATTTTGCTATCAATTACTACTAAGGTTCATGATTCATAAATTGAATTTTCATTAACTTCTTTAGAATTTGTTTGGAGTTCTTCGTATAGGTTATTACATATATCTTATGTATTACACACATTAGACTCTTGTAAGTAGGTTTTGACGGAATGTTCGAGATTTGGGGTGGCGGTTACTTGTGTGGTTAATTGACTTTGAATATAATTAAAATGACCTAAAGCTCTAGTATATTCCCCTTAAAAGAAGATGACAGAAATTAAATTTTTTTGAAATGTATAAAAATTTGAGATTCATTTTATACTCTTTTTCGGATCTTATTTGACTCAAGTAATTAAGCTTGAAGGGTTTTTCATAACCTGATACCCTATGGTCAATTGACTTGGAGTTATCGACCTAAAACTCGTTACATAGGTCATCTTAGTTGTTTAATAAAGAAGAGATTGTACATAAAAGGATTATAAGTTGAAGGATATATCCCTTCACCAATGATTTTTGCATGTCCTTTCTCATTAATTTAAGGTTTGTGAAGTGTCGTGGCTTACAACCTTGACTTTGTTTGAGTAGAATTCTTCTAACACTTGCTTAGAGGAGTTTAGTGGTACTTATCACACGTGTGACTTATACAATTTGCTCCATTTAGGTTTTAAATAAGTTATGCAGAAAAAGAATTTTTTTTGAACTATTCATGCATATCTAAGCAAATAACCGTAAAAATGAAAATTCATGAAAAAAATTAGTTGGTCTCAAAATTAGAAGATTTTTATTCTCCTATCACTTGTTTTTGTATAATCTTTGCATCGTTATACATCTTCACATTTTTTTTTACTCATTCCTTTTTGTATTTTAAATTGATTATTACTTGTCTTTTCTTTGTTATCCGTGACAAAAAGGAGGGAGGGATGTTTATTTATTTCAGGGTGAGTTAGGGAAAGAATTTTAATAAAATTGAATTTTTTTGATTTGATCAATAGATGACTTTGGGAGAGCCATTTGATATACTTGCTAGAATTTTAATATTGATATAGTGGTGTTGTTTTATCTATATTGATATAAAATTTTATGGTTTATTTCTAAATTTATAATTCACAAGAAATTGCATTCTTCGATGTTACACATGTTTTATTATGTAACTTAGTTATATGATCTTAGCTGTTAGTTTCCTTTTGCTTTTCACATGGTATTGTGATTTCCATGTGTTTCAGAAAACAAATTGACAAGTTGGTAAAGTGTAGCTTGAAAAGTGTCTATTAGGTAGATTGTAGTGGACTTTTGATTTTGAAATAAATGAATTTTTTCAAGGAATGCTAACGGGGGAAGTTAAAACCAATTCCTAGTTGTATTAGGAGTTTATCGAGTTATAATCATAATCACAATAGATAAAGATTAGTAGAATAGGTCTTGAAGGAGTCTCAAATCTCAAAGATGTTCAAGAAGATCACATATAATTAAGAGAATGCAAATAGAAATCTAAATGGTGTCAATGAGCCGCAAAAGTTATGCTTCAAATTCTTAGTCGTAACTTTTAATGTGTTTTTACATAGAAAATATTTGAATTTGGATAATACTATATCTAGAAGAATTGTAGCCCTTTTAAGTTAGGTTTCCTACACATTTTAAATCACCTCAATTCAATATTATGAGAGAAAGTTATGATGAAAATATTGATCACTGCTCAACTGTCACTAGCCTAGCTCTCAAGCGACTGGTTGATGTCCAAAATTTTGTTTTGCTTCAAACACTAATTTTTCAAATTCTTTTCATCACAAACACTTTACTCTATATAGAACCTATCCTATGAATGTCCAAAAGTGTGTTGAACCATAATTATTCCATATAGATTATTCCTTTGAAGATCCAGATCACTTTCATTGATTTCAAGATTCAACCACCATATTATTTGATTCATAGATTCATCTAAACTTACGTTTGTTGACTGAGTTATAAACATTCATATTAAACCACATATAAAAATACACAAGATAATTGATCAAACACCAAACTTATCTTAGCCAAATAGGCCTTCAGAGTTACTGGATTTGAGAAGAAAAGCTATGAGTTCCGGTGTTGTAGAACGAGGTTCCATTGGAAGAATGAAGAATTTTTTATTTGATTCACCAAAGATAAATCAATAATAAAAATATTGAAAGCTATTGCAGAATCACAAATTCAAGAGGACAAAGGTGAGGTACCAGGAAGCATGCGGTCCAAGAGGACTAAGGTATATACCTGGAGTCGAAATCTGTTTTGAAGAAACACACCTCTAGTAGGATCAAATGAGACAGCAAGAATTGAGGTCAGAAGTTCTATAGGGTAGACGAGTCTGGTCCGTATTGTAAGTTTGGTTTGATTTATAATGGATTCTTGAAAAGCAAATTGCCCGAAGGTTTTACCTAGCCCGGGTCATCTTTGGTATTCTTTTGTTGCTATAATTATTGATTGTGGCATTCAAACCATAGGTAATTGAACTTGATTGACCAATCACCTAAAAATAATTAAAAAGTAACTTATTGCTTTTAATTGATTATTTTGCACATTGGGTCTAAATAATTTGGCTAATTAGAACTTTCACTTGATGAGGATATCTTCCACCATAACTTGGGGATATTTGATTGATTGGTTACCTACGTGGACAAAAATTATTGTGGGTTGTACCTTCCCAAACCTAGTCTATGGTAGACAGATAGAGACACTAGATTAATTCCTTTTACCTGGGTCACGTAAGAATTAACGTTCACATAGCATTGTATTTTGTAACTCCGTAGATTTCAAATTTAGAGGCAGTTTATTTTAAAGTATTACACTGTATTCCCCAGCTATAAAACTATTATTTTAAAATTTTCAAACTGTTTATTCTCTTTCTACATCTTCTTCATAACTTTGTAATTAAAAGATATTTAAGCTACAGTTTTAGCAAATAAAATGTTAATATGCAATTTCTTGAAAATTTTAAAAAATATAATCTCAAATTCATTGTCCAAACGAATCTTCTTGAGCCTCTAAGAGAATGAAATGGGAGATACATATGCTTTGATTGCGTTAGGTTTTGTGATCTATAGAGTGCTTGACTTCTTTTCCATATGCCTTCTTTAAGCACATATTGTTTATCTACTTTTTCTTATAAGGTACCGGCTAATTTTCAGCACTTGGTCTCTTCAAATGAATTTTTGATAACCGATCCCAGTCTTTATGGTAATTGCATTCATTTGGTCCCTGGGGTTGACTTTGGTGTTGCTTGGAAAGGTATCTTGAGATCGTTCGATTAGCATCTTTCCTATTTTCCCTATTTAATCCTCAAGGCTCTTCAGAGTTGCATTTAGCTCAACATGGTAGTGTCATTCATCTCATGGTATTTAAACTATTGATTTTCCAACTGAGGTACTGCGTCATCCTATCCTACTTTCTTCTCGTGATGTGGATTCTGCACATTCTACAGTAAAAGTTACTAGTTCGACCCTAAAATTATCTAGATGGGAGGTGAATAGGTGAATACCGTGGAATTAAAATAACCAATTAAAAGCAATAAGTCACTTTTAAATTATTCTAGATTTTTAGTTAATCAAATCAATTTATCCTATGGTTAGAATTCCATAATCAATAATATGAAAGCAATAAACAACAAAAAATATGTTGACGAAGAAAACTGAAATAGATAAAAACTACAAGACCAAGCCAGTATCCTCCATTATAGACAATAATGAACTTATAGTACGATCCAGCCTAAAAAACCACTAGAGTAGCTAATCTACTTCCTGCAATCTCCAAGACTCGTTGGAACATGCTTCACTCACAC